TCAGCAGCGGCTGAATCTGGATGCCAGTTCCGACTTACATACAGATTCAACTTAAGAACAAACCTACAGTCCCTATCTTGTACGTAACCCGGGGACTGCCTGTATACTCCATGATCATATACATATGAGGGAGATAAAAGATTTAAAGGTGGAGCACTTTCTTAATTGTGACTGTCATTGATTTTCTGGTTTTGATCAGAATCCTGTCGGCTGAATCTGGATGCCAGTTCCGACTTACATACAGATTCAACTTAAGAACAAACCTACAGTCCCTATCTTGTACGTAACCCGGGGACTGCCTGTATACTCCATGATCATATACATATGAGGGAGATAAAAGATTTAAAGGTGGAGCACTTTCTTAATTGTGACTGTCATTGATTTTCTGGTTTTGATCAGAATCCTGTCTGAATCTATTTTCAAGCTATACATACTTGGCATATATAGAGAGCTTTATATGCATTCATCGGACGTATGAGTCAATTTAGTTTTTATTTTTTCTGGACCAGATCAGATAGATGAGTTACTTTTTGTCATCTGAATTTCCTTTTGTTGTTTTTTAACTTCAGACATCTCTGGATTTCTTTAACGCAAAGAATAGCACTGTTGTTTTTGCACTGAAAAGTTAGTCATTTTTAAATTGGAACTTGACTAGGTTGGGCACTGTTCATTTTCCAGGCTAAAATCTGGCAATGGCTTTAGATTACATCCAGCTGGGGCACAGGTGCACTGAGGTTGTACACCAAGAAAGTTTAGTTGGCCTATGTGTCAATAAGCTGAAATACTTTTGGGTTTAAGAGATGTTTTTTATTAGTCAAAGCAATTAGTTCTTATCCAAGTCTCAGCACCAAAATTTCATCTAAATTCATCTGATTTGCAGTGAGAGGCACAAACCCCAAGGACTGCAATTTTCACCCTTCCTCACCTTGCACACACTGACATTTTTATAATTTGGAGTGATGGGAGAGAGACCCCCCCTCAATTATTTGTTGCTGTTTTTTCTAATTTTGACAACCAATGCTTCAAAACTACATGGAGATCATTTACTTAGTGTTACAACTCTTTCTCTCTCTCTTCTCATGTATATAAGATGTCAGAACAACATGGTGGGTGAAATCCTCCCCAAGGAAGTTAATGGGTGTTTTGCCATTGACCTCAACAAAACCAAGACTTCACCCTGTGTAAGCATCAACTCTATTGGCAGTGCATACTGGACTACTATGGAGGGTTGTTTCCAAGAAATGCATTGGTTCTTGGGTTTATGTTCTGAAGTATGTATGTTGCTTAAGTAGAATGTGGTTAGTATAAAAAGAATTGCTTTGAGTAAGAAATGCAGGCTGAAGTGAATAACTTGATGATTCCCACACATGCTACACCCATGACTGGCATGCATTTGTTAATCTATGATGAATGTTGTCTTCTAGCAATATACCTATTTCATTTCCTTCTCTTCCAGATAATGGTTCTGATAAGCATAATGTAATTTGCCTTAGGTGGGGCACAAATATTTTTGAATTAAACCCTGAGGAGATTATATTTCTGAAACTATTTTGGAACAACAATGCTAAGGCATTTCAATAACTTGCCCCACTTGCTGTGGGAATGGAACGTGGGTTTGCAGCCTCCTTTTCATGAATTTACAAGAAGGGAGAGAATGGACACAGGAGACCTGGCCTGCTGCAGTTCCACCTCTCCCTTAGCATGCCTGCTGGAGGTGGGACTGATAACTGAAAGGAACAATAAATTATGAGCAGGTCACCACCGACTGCCTTTTCTTAACCCCTCCTAGGTGTGAAAAAGCCACAGAGCTTAGTACTGATTGGGAGTGTAGTAACTTTAAATGCAAATCAAAACTCTGGAATTTGCACTGCACAGTGGCCATTTTTCCACATGCCTACACCTGTTGCTGTGCCTGCACAGAACTGAGCTCCTACACTACGTATAGTGGTTCTGCTTTGTTGTTGTGTTTGACACTAGACTGCTCTAGTACAATGAGTATCCTCTTTAAGGCTAGAATTGAATAGAACTCCACGCAGGTGTAAAGACTCTCTCCCATGCAGACCTAGTTATAGAACGGGGGCCTGAATCAGTGCATTACAGTGACCTTTTACATTTGCTCGGTTCCTTTCATCCTAAACAATCCCAAAATACTGGGAAAAGAAGGGAGAAAGTGGAGCATTCCACTTTTTTGGAGCTGAGATTTAGGTAACTTATGCTCCCTTTCTCCCCAGAGTGAAAGTAATTTAAAATTTCTTACAGGTACTGTTCTATTGTAAACTGGGTCCCTTTCAGCTCTATAAATAGCTGCCTGCTAGCTTTTGCCGCAGCTCAGCCAGCTCTTGCTGGAGCTGCGCACCAGCGTGCATCCCCTTATTTTCACCTCTGCTTTCTCCTCTATAAACCAGACTCCCTGTCTGGGTTACATCTTCCACTGTTCACGGAACACATCTGGGAATTGTGAGTGGGTGATGGCCGGGGACTGGGAGATTGAACAGAAATCCACTTGCACTGGCCACTCACTGGGGCATGAGGGAGCTGATTAGTTCAGATGAATCCCAGTCCCCTGTGTGTTCTAACATTTCTAGACACATAACAGCAATTCTTGCTTCTGATAGCAGCCTGGTCAGTCCTGTCCCATTGGTGGTGTAATTGCTGTGAGGGGGGAAGGCGGCTCCCCACTCCTGGAAGAGGCAGCCGTGTCTCCTTCCCTCCACCCTCTCTCTGTGGCTGCCCTGAGAGCAGCAGTGTCTGGAGCTCCCGGGCCCTTCTCAATCACTGAGCCCAGAGGCACTTGCCTTCTTTCTCCCCTACCCCCTGTCATCCAGCCTGAAATGGATTGTCACCTTTATCGGTTAGGGAGGTGTTTTCCCTTCGGGTAAGATTGAGAAGACATTGGGGGCTTTGCCTTTTCTCTATGTCCTGGGGGACTGGTAAATGCTGAGATTGGTCATAAGAGGGTTTTATTACATGAATAAGAGCAGGAGGGTACAGTGGATATTGATAAATATAGTCAAGTGCCTCCTGTGTGCAGAGCTGGTCAGAGGGCTAAAGGGGCCAGCTCCTGGAGTATGCCTCATCGCAGGACCCTGGAGGAAATGGTGGACCCTGTTAGCTTGTCGAGAGAGTTCTTAAATCCTTTGCAGTTTGAGCTCTCCCCTTTTGTGTACTCTTCTTCCCCTTCACAGGGCAGTGGCTCACTGCCTGGGGCTGAATCAGAATTCAGTGGTGGACATCTGGCTGTGAAGCCCAACACTCATTCCAGATTGTCGCCCTTTCTCTTTTGCAGGGGGAGAGAGGCCTGTGCATAACAGCGTTGGGTTATGGGTGCTAATCCTGTTTCATGGTTGTTAACAATGACACCATTGGTCCTATGTTGGAGTCATTTAATACCTGGTAGTTCAAGAAAAGTCCACCCAATATTAAAGTTGATGAAGTTGCAAACTGCCACTTAAAATCTATTCATCTGTCTGTGTCCTCTGCATCCTTATCAATGACATTCTGCCTGCATATCCTCTTTTTTTCCACTGCATTCAAATCTGCTCTAGTATTTGAGACGTACTTCACCCCAAACTTCTATATCATTTTGCTTGTTGTTTGGTGTATCTTTATTTCTGAGATGCTCTCTCACTATAA